CTAAGACACTATTATTATTGGGCAGTCTGAGGATGGGACCTTTTTCTCCAGACACCACTTTGGTTCTTTTGACTCTCCTCTACTGCAAGACTCCAACAGCAACTGTACTTTTTTTTTTCCCATTTATTTATTTTATTGCATTTTAGGTTTTGGGGTACATGTGAAGAACATGCAAGATTGTTGCATAGGTACACACGTGGCAGTGTGATTTGCTGCCTTCCTCCCCATCACCTACCTCTGGCATCTCTCCCCTTGCTATCTCTCCCCAGCTCCCCACCCCCTACCGTCCCTCCCCTATTTCCCCCCAACTGACCCCAGTGTGTAGTGCTCCCCTCCCTGTGTCCATGTGTTCTCATTGTTCAACATCCACCTATGAGTGAGAACATGTGGTGTTTGATCTTCTGCTCTTCTGTCAGTTTGCTGAGAATGATGGTTTCCAGGTTCATCCATGTCCCTACAAAGGATACAAACTCATCGTTTTTGATGGCTGCATAATATTCCATGGTGTATATGTGCCACATTTTCCCTGTCCAGTCTATCATCGATGGGCATTTGGGTTGGTTCCAGGTCTTTGCTATTGTAAACAGTGCTGCAATGAACATTCGTGTGCACGTGTCCTTATAATAGAACGATTTATAATCCTTTGGATATATACCCAGTAATGGGATTGCTGGGTCAAATGGAAGTTCTATTTCTAGGTTCTTGAGGAATTGCCACACTGTCTTCCACAATGGTTGAACAACAGTGTAAAAGTGTTCCTATTTCTCCACATCCTCTCCAGCCTCTGTTGTCTCCAGATTTTTTAATGATTGCCATTCTAACTGGAGTGAGATGGTATCTCAATGTAGTTTTGATTTGCATTTCTCTGACGACCAGTGATGATGAGCATTTTTTCATATGTTTGTTGGCCTCATGAATGTCTTCTTTTGTAAAGTATCTGTTCATATCCTTTGCCCACTTTTGAATGGGCTTGTTAGTTTTTTCTTGTAAATCTGTTTTAGTTCTTTGTAAATTCTGGATATCAGCCCTTTGTCAGATGGGTAAACAGCAAAAATTTTTTCCCATTCTGTTGGTTGCCGATTCACTCTAATGATTGTTTCTTTTGCTGTGCAGAAGCTGTGGAGTTTGATTAGGTCCCATTCGTCTATTTTGGCTTTTGAGCAACTGTCCTTAATATGAAGTCCAGTAAGGAAAATTAGCCGAGAGCAAACAGGTTCAGGCTGTGGCTCAGAGAACATTTGGATAATAAGGTACATAATGTAAAATGTATCTCTGAAACTAGAAAAGATTGGGGGTAGGAACTTTATGCCAGGAGTCTGGAGACTGTTTCTTGACTCAGTTCTGTCCCCTGGTTTTGCTAGATGACCTACCTACCTTCCTTCCTTCCTTCCTGCCTTCCTGCCCTCCTGCCTTCCTGCCTTCCTGCCTTCTTTCCTTCCTTCCTTTCTTTTCTTTTTTTTTTCTAAATTTTAACTTTAATTTTAGATCAAGGGGTACATGTACAGGTTTGTTACATGGGTATCTTGCATGATGCTGAGGTTTGGGGTTTGAATAATCCTGCCACCTAGGTAACGAGCATGGTATCCAATAGGTAGCTTTTCAACTACATTTTCAGCCTTGCTCCCTGTATTAGGTAGTTTTTGTGTTGCTATAAAGAAATACCTGAGGCTGGGTAATTTATAAAGAAAAGGGGGTTAATTGGCTCGTGTTTCTGCAGGCTGTACAGGAAGCATTATGCTGGCATCTGCTTCTGGGAGGCCTCAGGAAGCTTACAATCATGGTGGAAGGCAAAGGGGGAGCTGGTATATCACATGATGAGAGTAGAGGCAAGAGAATGAGGAGGAAGGTGCCACACACTTTTAAACAACCAGACCTCGAGTGAACTCAGATGAAGAGCTCACTCATTATCATGGGGACAGAGTGAAACTATTAGGAGAGATCTGCCCTTATGACACAAATACCTCCCACTAGGCCCTACCTCCAACTCCAGCACTGACGGTTATTTTCCAACATGAGATTTGGTGGCTACCAACATCCAAATCATATCACCCCTTTTCTCTCCCTCCATCCTCTAGTAGTCCACAGTGTCTGTTTTTCCCATCTTTATGTCCATATGTACCCAGTGTTTAGCTCCCACTTATAAGTGAGAATGTGCAACATTTGGTTTTCTGTTTCTGCATTAATTCACATAGGATAATGGCCTCTTGATGCATTCATGTTGCCACAAAGGACATTATTTTGTTCTTTTTTTATGCCTGTGTAGCATTCCATGGTGTGTATATGCCACATATTCTTTATTCAGTCCACCACTGATGGGCACCTAACTTGATTTCCTATCTTGACTATGGTGAATAGTGCTGTGATGAATATATAAGTGCATGTGCCTTTTTGGTAGAATAGTCTATTTTCTTTTGGGCATATACCTAGTAATGGGATTGCTGGATCGAATGGTGGTTCTATTTTTAGTTTTTTGAGAAATCTCCAGACTGCCTTCCATAGTAAGTAGCTGAATTAATTTACATTCACCAGCAGTGTGTAAGCATTTCCTTTTCTCCATAGCCTTGACAACATCTGTTATTTTTTGACTTTTTAATAATAGTCATTCTGACTGGTATGAGATGGTATCTCCTTGTGGTTTTGATTTGCATTTCTGTGGTGTAGTGATGATGAGCATTTTTTCATGTTTGTTGGCTATTTGTAAGTCTTTTGAGAAATGTCTGTTCATGTCCATTGCCCACTTTTAAAAATGGGTTTTTAAAATGTTTTTTGCTTGTTGAATTAAATTTAAAAAAATGCTTTTTGCTTGTTGAATTAAATTTCTTATAGATGCTGCGTATTAGATCTTTGTCAGATACATAGTTTATGAACATTTTCTCCCATTCTGTACATTGTCTGTTTACTCTGTTGATACATTTTTTTTTTTTTCTGTACAGAAACTCTTTAGTTTAATTAGGTCCTACTTGCCAATGTTTGCTTTTGCTGCCATTGCTTTTGAGGACTTAGTCATAAATTCTTTGCCAAGGCCAATGTCCAGAAGAGTATTTCCTAGATTTTTTACCTAGGATTTTAATTATTTTAGGTCTTACATTTAATTGTTTACTCCATCTTGAGTTAATTTATTTTATTTTATTTTTTGAGACAGAGTCTTGCTCTGTCACCCAGGCTAGAGTGCAGTGGTGCGGTCTTGGCCTACTGCAACTTCTGCCTCCTGGGTTCAAGTGATCCTCCTGCCTCAGCCTCCTGAGTAGTGGAGACTACAGGTACGTGCCATGACACCTGGCTAATTGTTGTATTTTTAGTAAAGATGGGGCTTTTACTTTAGTAAAGATGGGGTTGCCAGATTGGTCAGGCTGGTCTCAAACTCCTGACCTCAGGTGATCTGCCTGCCTTGGCCTCCCAAGGTGTTGGGATTACAGGCATGAGCCACTGCACCTAGCTGAGTTAATTTTCATATATGGTGATAGGGTCCAGTTTCATTCTTCTGTATATGGATAGCCAGTTATCTCAGCATCATTTGTTGAATAGGAATTCCTTTCCCCATCGCTTATTTTTGTTGACTTTGTCAAAAATCAGTTGGTTGTAGGTGAACAGCTTTATTTATGGGTTATCTTTTCTGTTCTGTTGTTCTATGTGTCTGTTTTTGTACCAATACTATACTGTTTTGGTTACCATAGCCTTATAGTGTAGTTTGAAGTCAGGTAATATTATACCTCCAGCTTTGTTCTTTTTGCTTAAGATAACCTTTCTTTTCTAAATGGCCTTTACTGAGTGTTCTCTATTCTGCCTACCTCCCATGAATCATGAATGGTGAATAAATTATGAAGGTGGTAGTAGTATGGTTTTGACACATACATTATAGTAATATTGGTTAGCATGGCAAAAGTGGGTTGCAGGGAAATTTTGCAGGAGTTTTATATTTCCTCTGTTTTGTTTGTTTGTTTGTTTTGGGTTGGGGGATGGAGTCTTGCTCTTCTGCCCAGGCTGGAGTGCAGTGGTGTGATCTCAGCTCACTGCAAACTCCGTCTCCTGGATTCAAGCAATTCTATGCCTCAGCCTCCCAAGTAGCTGGGATTACAGGTGCCCACCACCACGCCAGGCTAATTTTTGTATTTTCGGTAGAGATGGGGCTTCACCATCTTGGCCAGGCTGGTCTCGAGCTTCTGACCTCGTGATCCACCTGCCTCGGCCTCACAAAGTGCTGGGATTACAGGCATGAACCACCGCGCCCAGCTTATGTTTGCTCTTAATAGTTATATTTTGAAACTTGAATATGCTCAACCCTTGCATATATCCTTTTCTGATCTTTTTTCTGTCTGGTTTGTTAGATGTGGCATTTCCCCACTTTCCTGTATGGAGAATATGTAAATGTGGGTATGGGCAAAGGAGGAGTCATTTCTTTCTTATGTCCCTTTTATGAATCACCCAGTTGTCTTCCTGGTGGATGTCTGAACTCTGGCACGGATTCCGAGATTCAGTTTCCTTATTTGTGTTGTTCACCTTTTCGTGGTCCCTGTGATTGGCCTCAAAAGGAAATATCTGGAGCAGGGCCACGAGGCTGATTAGAGGAGGAAGGGACGTAGAGGGAACAAGATATGAATGGTACTGTGAAAGGAAGAAGTGAAGATAAAGTACTGTGTGGGGTGTAAATGAAATTATCTAGGCCTCTTCTCACTTGAGAAAGTGAGTGTGGGTAATGGTCTCATCTAAGAGAACACAGGTGCCAGGGGAGGTAATCTTTGAGAATAACTCTGTAGCTAGTTTGAGTTCGGGAGGCCATATACAGTTTTAGTTACTTTTGCTTTCTATCACCTCAGTGTTCCTCTGTTCCTTCTGTGGTTTCAGGGCTTTGTGGTAGTAAAAATTTAACAGTTTAAAATTATAAGGATGTTAGATTTACTGAGAGTCTCTTTGTGCTTTCACCTACACCATGTTATCCTCCTTGAAGTCCCCCATAAAACATTAGAGTCTAGTAAGTATTTCTTCTTAAATAATCACACAGATTACTCTGAGAAGAAAAATGTACCATTTAAAACATTTTTAGAGTCCTGTAATTTTGGAGCTGAAAGGGACTCTAGAGATTGTCTGGTCTGATCCTATATTGTGAATAAGTTACTGAGCATGAGGTCCAGAGTGTGAAGAACACTACTCAGGAAAGTCCCTCAGCCAGTGAGTGCTAGTACAGATCTGGAAAAGCCCCGGGGTGACATGAAGGGTCCCAGAAGAGAGATGCTCACAGCTGATTTTTCTGAGGCATTAGGGTAGCTTCTGTACCACTTTTTGTGGCTAATTGCTCCAGTTACCTCTAAGTCTCTGTGGCTAGGAGATAAGACTGGCCTCCTGCCTTCCACAGGATTATGTTTTAGTTTGGGAAACAAGATTTATAAATAATGAATTAGCCAAGACAGTATATTAGGTGTGAGATGACAATACAGGACAGTACGGTTTGTAGCTATTTTGGTGGTGATTGGCTGTCATTGGTGTGATTAAAGTAAGTTTTATGAAGACATGGGATTTGACTGGCCTCCCAGAAAGACTAAAGGACTGGCATTGGAGAAGGCATTCCAGGCAGGGAGAGTTAAATTGGTCTAAATTGAAGCTCAGCAGCTGGAGATTACAATATGTGAAAGATCTTTGGCTGGAGATGGGGGTTCAGTGGGAGACTTATTAGTTGGAGCCACAGCTTAAGTCAAATTCCAATATGACAGATCTTAGTTAGATATTTTAGGATTGTGCTACAAAACTGGTAGTATCCATTGTGATAGCTTTACTGCAATAGTCTTTGGCCTCTTGCAGTAAAATAGGGTTTGTTTCAATTTCACCTATTTGTACTGCCTCTCTTTTCTGAATTTCTAATTTTCCAATTTTTACTTTTAATTTCTCTCTGTGTTCAAATTTCTGTTGGTGCTTTTCCCTTAACTCCTCTCCATCTATCAGACACTCAGAGCTACTATAGAATATGGGAGGAGGATTTGGAACATAAACTGACCTACAAGTGAATTTCCCCAGGTGGATGATAAACTCCACTGCAGGCCACAGAGGGGCCTCGTCATTCCAGCAATCTGGCCAGGCTGACAGACTCATAGCCTGTGGGGGCAGGGGAGGGTGTAGGGGCCGGTATTTCTCGGGCTAGTGACGAACTGCCTGATTCTTTGCAGCCTAGACAGAGGAGGAAGGAGCCCTGGGGGCAGGCTAATCGCCTGGGCTGGGGATGCCTGGGCAGATGCAGAGGCAGCTGGAAAGGTGGCACCGCACCTTGGTTGCTGGAGCTGCCGCTGTTCCTAGGAGACCAAGGAGCAGCAAGCCTGCGGGGGAGGGGGAGCAAGTAGGTTGCTGCTTTTAGCAGCTGAAAGGGCTGCAGGGAGCTCTGGGTAAGACATTTTCTGCTGCTGCTGCTTTTGCGGTAGAAGCTGCCACGAGTAAGTCAGAGGAAGGAGGATTGAGAAGGGAGGAGGCTTCACTTGCAGCCATGCTGAATCACTGTTGCTGATCAGATCTCCCACTGGTCTGCTGGGAGAATCAAGAACAGAGCTAGGATCCCTGGGTGCATGCACAGTTTAGCAGCTACCACCCTGGCTGGGCCTCACACAATGGAGGGTGAAAGGTATGTATATATAAGTGTGTGTGTTGTGTGTGTACATAAGCAAATGTGTGCTTGCGGTGCAGCCACCAGCTTTTGTGTTTGCATTAGCTAGGCAGTGTTGGAAGACCTAGCCACTGATGGATCTCAAAGGGCAGCAGAGCAAGAGCAGGAAAGCCCCTTTCCAAACTATCCCTTCCAGGGCTTGAATCTCCAGAGATCTGGCTTCCGCAAAGGCAGGTCTGGGTTTGCTAGGCAGCGGAGCACCCTGAAAGAAGGGACTTCCTGGCTAGTGTTCGGGAATAGTTTCACCACAGGCTGAATCGGGATTGCCTTTCTCAGGCTGTTTCAAGGAGGTGTTTCCCTTTCCTGGCTACTTTCCCGGGGTGTTTTTTCTTTGGTAGGGGGTTTTTGATGTCATAGTGGGGCTGGCCTGACATAGTGTACTTGCATTTTCACGCAGGAGTGCTCGAATCTTCAGCAGGCATGCCATGCTGATGGCTGTGTGTGTGTGTGTGCATGCGTGCATGCTGTGTATGCCTGAATCCACACACATTCAGGGATGAAGGAGAGAAACCCAGTCAGATGACACTTGCTCTGAGCTGAGTTTCATATTTGTATTGAAAAGTTTATGAGTGATGCATGAAGGTCTGTGCTGCTTTCATCAGGGATTTCTTTTGAAATAGGTACCAGCAGAAGAGATTTTAAGTTCTTTGTTGAGCTGGATCTAACTAGCAAGGGTTTATTTCCTGGCAGGCACATGTGCCTAAATTTTAAAATTGTTATCTGAAGATCTGAATCTTTTGTTGTGAAGGTGCTCAGTGCAGTGCAGAGGCGACATCCCCTGTCTATGAAGTAAAATATCTCCTGAGTGCCAACCTCTTCATTCTTCAGTGTGCAGCTGGTAGAGCGTACAGGGCTTGTCATTTTGTCTGAGGAGAGAAGACTGCAGGGAGGGGTCTGGCCATGGAATTGCGCAACTGAGGGGAAGTCTGCTGGTTCAAGTTGCCAGTTTGGTGCAGACAGTAACCATCTGGTTAACAAAAACAGGCTCAACTAGGTTAACACTAGAGAGTTTCTCAATGAACACTTTCCTTTTCATGGGTTGTTATGACTCCTGCATCTCACATAGCACAGTGATGTCATTAAACATCTCTAGACCCCATTAGAACTGGTCTGATGGTTGGGTGTCATCTCATCCTCCTGTCTGAAGAGGCCCTGGGAACTGTGCTGCTGGTGCATTCTCTTTCTGGGTGCTCTTTGCAATTGGAACTTAGTGTTGAACTCCATGTGGCCTGCTGGGCAGCAGAACATGAAGGGCTGTTTCTCTAGGTGGGGGCAGAGATGAGCAATGTCTTTGGTCCCCCAAACAGCGTCCCATTGGTCTGGTAGGTGGCAGAGAATGGGGTTGATGTGATGGAGGTTTAGAGATTCTGGTCATGGCTATTTGTTTGACCTGTGGTGTAAATGGGGTTGAGATGTCAGTGTGAGACTACCAGCAGTGGATCAGTTTTGGGCACTGTGTTCCCAGTTCAGAAATGTAATGAGTCCCTGCCCCTGTCCAGGTGCCTCTCAGATGGGATGGCTGATGTTTATGACTTTAGAACAGCAGGTTACACATGTTCATGTACCTTTTCTCTGCTGAAGGCAGACAGTAGACAAGAAATCCAGACTGAGCAGCTTCCAGTGTTCACCATGTCACCCAGGTCATATCTTTTGTTTCTGCTCCAAGTCCAGATTACTATGCCAGGCATTCAAGTCTTCTGAACTCTGACTCCTTTCACCACTCCCACACTCACTCCTATACCCACTAAGAATTCTGTTGGTCTCTTTCGTGATCACCCGTCCTATACATTATATCATCTAGCTTTATATCCTTAGCTCCCAGAGTTCCTTTTGCTGGCTGTCTTTCCCTTCTTCTTTTGCAAAAATTATCTATCAAGGTTATTCTAAAATTCTACTTTATCTTGGAAAGTCAGCTTTTCTAGTCCTGGCTGATGTTCTTCTGAATTCTAATACCTCTAGTTGGTCTCTCATAGTTGGACACTGAATAATAGGCCCACAAGATTTTTTGGTGCTTTTATTTCATGTATTTTACCAGTCCCCAAACTTGGAGACAGGTCCTCAAGGGCAAGGATGATGCCTTGTACTTCTAAATACCCCCATTGACTACTGTGTGGGTACACACATAGCAGGTGCTGAATAGTTATTAGCTGATTAACTAATAACTTTTGTGTGAGGCTCTGATAACTAAAAAGAAAGTTGGTGAGAGAAGAGATTGAAACCTTTGGCCAATAAGTTCATCTTTGGATATCAGCCTTATTATCTTAGCACAGGTAATTGACTCCATGGAATGCTTTGAGGTAGGGGGAGAACAGAGGGTAGTAGCCTTGTTTTACAAGTTCCCTGGGAAATTGAGGTCTAGAGAAGCTGAGTGACTTGCCTAGGATCACATGCCAACCTCCAGAGACTGGAGGGATCCTGAATCTGGTGCTTATTCCACACTTAACCTGCTGAATCTTAATTGGGGCTGGCTGTTTTTAAGCATTACAAATTTTCAACCAAGAGATTGCTAATTAACATTTTTTTTCTTTGCTATGAAAGCATGAAAATACTTCCTACCTTTAAAAGCTATTAATTAAAAGCATGGGCTTTGGAGTAACATAGACCTTGTGGTGAATCTACTTTACAATGTGACCTTGAGTGTGCCACATTTTTTTCAGAATTAATTTTTCTCTTCTGTGTAAGGGCAATAATAACAGTACTTATACTTTTAGAGTTGTGAGGATTAAATGATACCATATGTGTTAGGTACCTAGTAAAGTTTTTTTTTTTTGGCACAGAGTAAGTACCCAGTAGATGGTAGTTACCATCTCCTCAGTAGATACCAATTATCATTGGTATCTGCCTATTGCTATGTTGTACCCTGTGCCTCACTGCTGGGTTACTTACCAAAGCATATTTTAGGGCCTCTTTCTGTTTGTCATCCAAAACAGATTATATCGAACCATTTCCATGAGGAAATGAGGTAGCTTATCAGGCCATCATCTTGCTTCTTACCTAAAACTATCTCCTTATAGTAAGTTACCTCATAGGGCTTGGCATTTCTTCTTTTAGGTTTCACCAAGATCTACTTTAATCTTCCTTTTTATAGACAACCTGTGGCATCTAGTTGCCTCAGTGGTTTGGAACCATGGGCTGGATACATGTTTGTTCATGCCAAACTCTTAAGAAGAACTTGTGAGTTTGCACTATCCTTTGCTGTATCTTTCAAGATTTCCATGTCTCTCCTGGACCTTATGATGAGGGAACTTCCCCAGTTCTCTCCATGGGAGGATCACTGTGGCTTGACCAGTCAGAGGAAGATGATTTTGTCTTCTGTTTTCCCAAGGGAAAGGCTCTCTGTCTCTTAGCTACTACAATGATAAATTGTGTCTGTGTGAGTGTGTATGTAGAGAAGATAGATATAAAAAATGGCAGTTGCCCTCGCAGTTGAGATTTTATTTCAGTTCTGGAAATCAGCCTTGTGGATAGGTTAAAATAAAATTTCAACATAAATGGTTAGTAAGATTCATAGAGACAGAAAGTAAAATGGTTGCCAGGTGCTGGAGGGAGGGAGGAATGGGGAAGTTATTGTTTAATGGGTAGAGAGTTTCAGTTTGGGAAGATGAAAGAATTCTGGAGAAGGATGGTGGTGATGGTTATACAACAGTATGACTGTGCTTAATGTGGCTGAACTGTGCACTTAAAAATGGTTAAAATTGTAAATTTTATGTTACCTCTATTTTACCACAATAAAAACAAATTTAGGCCCAGACTGGCAGATCTGAAAGTTACAGAGCGCCACAGCTTTGGAAGAAGCATCATAAAAAGGGGAAGTTGATTGTCTATTTTTCTTAAAATTGTGGTTATTTTCTTCATCGAAGCACAGGGATGCCCCTGCTTGAGAGGGTCACCATGTACCAGGCACTATGTCATGATTTTGTGTGAGGTACCTCAGAGGATGGTTTTTACTGACTGGTATTTATGAAGAAGAGACTGTTCCTGGACCTCAGGAAGCTTCTGAGCCAAAGGAGCTCATCTATTTTCGCTTGATCCAGGAAAGACAGATACAGAATATTTTCTGAGGAGACAAGACTTAGAAAGCCAGTGCTCTTTAAATGTTGAGTTTTGCAATGTCACGTTAAATGCTGGCAAGACCCTGGAAAGAGCAAGTTTGAGCAACCGAGCCTTTTTTCTGTTCCCAGTGGCCAGTCACTAAGGCCTCTTCCAGCATTAGAAATGAGGGATAGAAAATTCTGTAAAAAGTTTTGGCATCACTGCTACCTGAAGCAGATGTGCATGCATTTCAACCATGATAATTGAAACCAAATTTTTCCATTTTGGAAATACTTTTTTGGCGAAGTAAGGTTTTCAACTGCAAAAACAAAGTCAGGGAAAGAAACCTATTGATTTCCCTATACCCAGATTTGGATTTTTAGGATTTTGCTTGCTAAGTTTTAAATTGGTAAGACAGATCTGGACAAGAAAATTTTTGTGTAAGTTTTCCTAAAGCAAGTGCTTTATTTGATAAAATTTGCCATCATAGAACTGACCTAATTTTTTTTTTCAATTTCTGGATGAATGCTCACACTAGGTTAAATGGAATAGAGCATTAATAAACCATGTAAAAAACAGCTTGAACATGTGTTGGTAGATTTTTTTTTTCTGTTAAATAAGTTCAATGCCTCTCAGGCATATAACTTTTTATAATTTATGAGGATTTTTAGAGTCTTAGCACAACTTTCCTGGACTTTTCTTTTCCACTTATGATAGTATATTGTAGCCACTACCAAAAACACATGCATGCAAAGGCTCAGCTCTCCTATTCAAACCAAACATAAGCTTGCCTTCCAAAATGCCACATAATGAGGAGCGTGTTTTCTTTTAGTCTTTCTCTCTTGTTGTCTAATTCTATCTGTCTGTGTAAAATGTTTTACAGTTTTACACAGCCCACCTAAGAGTTTTACCCTTGAGTTCTGAAG